AGATACTGTTCATGCACCAACAGCAACATTACACACTATTTAAAATGAAAAAAAGTGAAATCGCAATCAACCACCCCTTTAAGAACAGTGAGAGGCTGTTCTTTGAGGCTGTGCACTCCCTACAGGGAAAAGTGTGAAGAGTTTCAAATGTCAGAAGACATTGCCTTTGCAGATTTTTTACTAAACAGTACAATTAGCATTATATCTACTGTTTTGTGGAAGCTGATATTTAGATTTGCTCTTGTCATGAATGAAACACTTTACAATAAGGTGCATTAGTTATCAATACTTCTCAGCATTCATTAATCTTAGTTATCAATTTCAACATTTACTTATATATTATTAAAATCAAAGGTTGTATTTGTTAAAATTAGTTAATGCACTGTGATAAACAGCATTTGTATTAATTATCAAAGATTAATCAATACTGTAACAAATGTTTTGTTCATTGTTAAGTTACGTTAACTAATGAACCTTATTGTAAAGTGTTACCACTTATGTGTTTGATTCTTGTTTTATGTTTTACAACTTGAACGTATACTTGCATGTGTGTTTGCAGTTTATTTTTAGCCATACATTTATGAATTTAACAGTAAAACATATTCATTGCTAATAAGGAAAAAAGTTATTTATTTGTGTGTATTTTGTTCCACAATTAATTATATATATTTTGTTGATAAATTGAGTCACAAGTAAAAAAAAATAAAAAATATTCTGGGAACATTTTGTATCCATTTAATCTGGAATTTATCTACTGCCCTCTACTGGGCATTCAGGGGTATTAAAATATGCTTGTAACTTTAGTTATAAGACATTTAGGGAATTAACATAATTTTCATACATTGCCTAATGACATGGATGATTTAAAATGAATCATTAAAAAAGGCTAAATGTTAAATGTGTTAATTAGTATATGCAATTATGCAATGTGAAACAAGATTAAATAATTTTTACATATCTTTAAAAATGTCATACCAAAAGAAATGCACAGATCCACAAAATGTGATCAGGTTATTTCTAGTTTATTTTGGAAAACCTCTACAGAAGAATATTTGTTAAAGAAAAAAAAAAGAGCAGCACTAGAAGATCATACTTCTTCAGTACCCAACATCATAGAGCACACAACACCTTACAATATAATAATTATACCTTACAAATATTAATTCCACACACAAAATACTCACACAACCCCGTCTTTGGTCTCAAATGTCCACAATACTATACAATAAGACAGAAATCTAAAAAAAATAAAAATCAACATAAAAGTACATTAGTTATAATGTTGGCACAATCATGACATTTTTTAGTCCATCAAGACAATCGTATGTTATTGCTTTTTTAACATTCAAAATGTTACTTTTAAAAGAAGGCTGAATAGGCAAGAAAACATTTCTTATGATAGTGTTACTAGCACTGCATATTTCTAAAAAAGCTTTCTACTGTATATTTTTTTTCTGTAAAGCTAGACCCTAAAGATTTATAGATCTCACTGTTTACTAGTGTAGTCAATTGATTATTGTGTATACAGGAATTGTGAATGCTGAATCTTATCATTCTAAGTCTTGATCTAAATAATTAATTTCCTTCGATTGTAACACGATATATCAAGGACTAAAGTGTTCAATAATGTTCTGGTGTTCAAACACACACATATGCTCCCCTTTATCTGTAAATGAAGAAATATTTTTTTGAAAAATAATGTATTGAATAAAACATAGATGGGATGGGGTGGTGATGGCGCAGTGGATACGACATGCCTTTGGTGTGAGAGGCCCGGGTTCGAAATCACCGCAATGTGTCCCTGAGCAAGACACTTAACGCCTAGTTGCTCCAGAGGTGTGCAACCTCGGAAATATATACAGTAGCAAATGTAAGTCGCTTTGGATAAAAGTGTCAGCTACTGTAAATGAATAAATGTAAATGTAATGTTCAACAAAACGTGTAGTTTTTGTATGGAGAAATGTAATAATTTAATTCTAGGGGGCAGCACACATTGATAAACTGTTGCAATAATACAACAGTTAGTTCAAGTCCTCAAATTTGATTGATCAAGTGCCTGTGTTTGAATCATTTTATCTTTTCAATGGTTCAATCCAGAACAAAACACAACCACTTTGTATCGATTCTGCTATGGCTTCATTCAGAACTATTTCAGTAGAACAGACAAAAAAATAAAAAAATAAAACTAAAATCTCTCTTTCTTTAAAAAGGCAACTTCACTCTCACAATAGTGCTGTTCCCAGCTCTACCCCTAAGGATTCATAGGAAGGAAACAAGGAAAGAGGACGAAGAATCGAAGGAAATATTTCAAATTGGAATATTCTAGATCCCTTGAGGGTCATCAGCTGTGCTTAAGGGATCTCCCCTTATGTTGTTGAAGTTTGGTTATTTCAGAAATTCATTAATAAATAATAATAAAGTATGACACCTGGTTGAAATATGTCAGATGTATGGTTTGTTTAAACTGCAAAGGTAAAACTTTAATTGAAATGATTGTGACAGATGTGAAGGAGAATTTACTGCGTCAGGTTTTTCCGACACGAAACACTTGACAAGATACACCTGTGCACCCTTGCTCATACCTCATATGCAAATTAGAGAAATGAGATATGACGTTTCCGAGTCAAAAGCTGGAGGCGTGAGGAAACATCCAAGTATTGAGAAGAATTTACAGGATTAGTTCACTTTTGAAAAAACTTTTGCTGATAATTTACTCACCCCCATGTCATCCAAGATGTCCATGTCTTTCTTTCCTCAGTCGAAAAGAAATGAAGGTTTTTGATGAAAACATTTCAGGATTTTTCTCCTTATAATGGACTTCAATGGGAACCAGGTCCAACCGAGGTCCAAACGACAGTTAATAACAGTTTCAGATGCAGCTTCAAATGTCTTTAAACGACACCAAACGATGAATAAGGGTCTTATCATGCAAAACGATCGGTTATTTCAAAGCTTATTCCAAAAATGTAACTTTTCTAAGGACAAATGCTAGCCTTGTAATATATTGTGAGGCGCGTTTGCAACGTCACGTAATACGTAATTACGTTCAAAAGGTCACGGGCGACGTAGCCGGAAGTACAGAATCAAAATCGTCCGACATCGTTGTTTTACCTTTTAATTCCTTTTTTGTAAACGCCGTTTGAGTTAGTTTTCACGTTCAACCTATGCGTTCAACTTGTAAACACCCTGACTCTGTACTTCTGGCTACGTCGCCCGTGACCTTTTGAACGTAATTAGTATTACGTGACGTTGCAAACGCGCCTCACAGAATAGAGCAAGGCTAGCATTTGTCCTTAGAAAAGTTACATTTTTGGAATAAGTTTTGAAATAACCGATCGTTTCGCATGATAAGACCCTTATTCATCGTCTGATATCGTTTAAAGACATTTGAAGCTGCATCTGTAACTGTTATAACTGTCGTTTGGACCTCGGTTGGACCTGGTTCCCATGGAAGTCCATTATAAGGAGAAAAATCCTGGAATGTTTTCATCAAAAACCTTAATTTCTTTTGGACTGAGGAAATTGGACATCTTGGATGACATGGGGGTGAGTAAATTATCAGCAAAAGTTTTTTCAAAAGTGAACTAATCCTTTAATGATACTAGATATTCTCAACAACAGCTCTGTGCGCCAGCCTTTGAGCCAAACATTTTATGAATTTGCAGTGAACGTGCATTAATTCTTCACACGTGTGAGAGAAAAAGAGCCTGATCTCATGAAAGTTCGTATCTATAGCACGAATGTCATTCCTCGTGGCATTTATACGCCAAAAAACGTTTTTGTGTGTATATGGTACGCATTTTTCGCGTGCATATGATTTGCACTTTTTGGTGTATAATACGCACAAACTATACCCCACCCCCCTCGCCCCTAAACCTAATCCACGGTTTTTTAGTGCATAGCATTTGCACGCAAAACACATTTTTGGCGTATAAATGCCACGAGAAATGACATTCATGGTATAGATACTCATTTTCATGAAACTGTGTTGGAGAAAAATGTGATTGCAGATTCAAACTAGTGCTTACATCCATAATGTGATTGTACGGGCTAACAGTCTGACTAGTATTGGCCCAATTCTTGGGACTAAAGCTGGGCTTCCCTGAAGACCCTGCTTGTGATGTAGAACTTCAGTAAAGTTCAGGAACTTTCAGAGATTTTTGACTTCACGCAAAATTTCATTTCAACTACAATTTTTAAAAATCTGTTGCAGTGCACGGAGTCCTACGTCACCAGACTAATTTGCCTAATCTTCACAGTGCTTTAGATCATGGTGGAAATGCAGATAGCAGCAGGTCTGGGGGAAAAAAGGTCCCCCCATTCATCATCCGGGTAAATTCGGTGGAAACGCGGCTTATGATTTATTGCAGCGCCCACCGGACTAGAAATTCAAAAAGCTTGAATGAATGTATAAATGTATTTACATTTTTTTTTTTTTTAATTAAGGACCTATTTTTTTAATGAACCAAACAGTTTCTAAGCATTATTCGGACAGGATTAGTTTTTACAAAAATATGTAGATGGAGTAATATAATTTTACCACAGGACGTCTAATATTAATGGCCAATTCGCTTGTGATAAGAAATCTCAGTAAAACTAGCAGAAGTGTGAGGGGTAACTCGATTCACACACTGCCGTCACCTCCCTGTCGTCATGTGCGCATTACGTTGCTTCCCAATAGGCGTGTTCTACTTCATGCAGCGCTGCGCAAACCGATCGGCGGCTGACTTAAAGCAGTGCATGCCAGTTAGAAATTGTGTCTGACTTGAGGCAGGGCTGACGCCACGTAACTGTGACATATGGCATCAAAGTACTGCGAGAGCGATGATGACGACAACTGTTCTATGATTGGCCAGATTCACCGCATGAAAACAATCACGTGCGTTTCATGTTTATTCGAACACAACATTGTTCACAAATTATTAATGTTCACAAATACTGTTTTTAATAACAGTAAAAACTCTTCATGTAGTCGCGATGTTATATGGTGTTTATTTGTTTGTTTATTTAAAAAAAAACGCTTAGAAATGTGTCCGAGTGCGGACCGCCTTGCTCTGATGTCATGTTGACATATCAAAAAACTCTTGCGACGGCCGCGTCGGATTCTGCAGTCAGGCGCACTTGCTTTCCACCGACTGCGCTATTAAAACGATGCGAAATGACACAACTTAATGACAACTGTGATGCTTTCTCTTTTAAAATGTTTGATTTTAAAACTCTGATATCATGGATTTTATGTGTAGTCTATAAATTATGCGTGAATATTCCTAATCTGTCTGACAGTGCAGGACAGAGAGCCCTATTCGGCTTGGCTACACTTTTTTCACTTCTTCCCTCACTGCAGCCGCTTACTCCCAGTTACAATTCAGGCGAGGTGCATCTCCGTTTTCAGCACACAGCAACTCTCACAGAAAACACATGAGATTTACCAAAGACTTGTCCCACCGATTAAATTGCACCTGAATGCTTTTTCAAGCCTTCCATACTTGGAAAAACTACTTTAAAATTTTATTGAGAATTCGGGTAATTCTATTGTAATAGATTACATACAGCACTCGGATGCTTTATTTGAATCGTTGAACTAAATTTACAAAAAAGTAAACAAATAAACCTTGTTTTCCACATACCATTCCGATCAAAAAGGTCGAAAGCATAATCCATTTAGTTAAATTTTAGTTAGATTTAATTAATAAATCGTTCGACTGGACAAAAATATAGATTATTTGTTTGCACACATGATACCAGGAAGCAACGCAATAGGCACATGACGACAGGATGGTGGTGTGTAAATCGAGGTACCCCTCCCACTTCTGCTAGTTTTCTGAGATTTGTTATCCCATGCAAATTGTCCATTATAACAGACAACCTGTGGTAAAATTACATTACTTTACATTTCATTCCAATGGGACTAAAATCGATGAGAAACTCTGGTAATAATTACTTTACCCCACCGCTCCATGTAAAACTAATCCCGTCCGAATAGGGCTTTAGTTTCAAGTAACATCCATAAAATAAGGCATCATACTGGTTTCTGTTAAATAAGTTCATTTTGTTCTACACAACCTGTGACCCACAACGGCCACTTACGGTGTATATTTGTGAACTCATTAATAACATCATAATCATCAGTGCTTATAATAATCTATAAAGGTGGATCAATCAAGTGTGACTGATTTGGAAAGGCTTCTTGTCTTTTTTTTTATATAAAAACAAAACAAAACAAACGTTCTGTTCAGTTGAAGAGAGGATTATTCCTTAATAACCTTGCATTTCATGCCTCTGGAACCGACTCTGTTGTGGGTAACTCATTCGGTCCTCCAGATCTCCTTCTTTTGAACAGTTTATACAGCCCAGCAATGAAGAATATCACTGCTACTGCAGCAAAGTAACTCGCATAGATCAAAAACTGTGGAAAGTAGAAAATTGCACAGGATATTAGCAGCTTTCAATGGTGATGGAAATGCATTATTACTCACTCAGCTGGATTCATGCTTTAGTTTACCTGTAGAAAAATATCCAGGCCCAGTCCGGCAGAATCTACTACAATCACTGTAAGAACCGTCTGCAGTAAGAGTGCAACGAAAGTGTTTACTCCAAAAACCAAAGCATATCGTTTCATGCTTAAGTTAGCAGCAATCTGATACCTGCAATATAAAAAAAGACAAATTAATTGACCTTTCCCAATATCGATTTAAAGTGTTATACATTTAAATAATTTACTAGGCTTTTTTTAAAGTGTAGACTTTTAAAGGGTTAGTTCACCCAAAAATGACAATTTTGTCAGTATTTACTCACAAATTAAGAATATTAAGATACACAAATTAAGATATTTAAGATATTAAGATCATCGCTCCTGCATACTAGTCCATAGGCTTCTTGAGGGAATGACTATTGCTGGCATCGAAAAGTCATCAAAGACATCGTTAAAATAGTCCAAGTGACTACAGGGGCTCAATTTTAACTTTATCAAACGACGAGAATACTTTTTGTGCGCAAAAACAAACGCATTAGGTCCTTGTTGAGGTAAATTGTAGTTTTCCTTCCTTAAAACCCCAGTCTTAAATTAAAATGATGAAAAGTAGTATTTAATTAAATGCATTTATGGTGAGATTACTACATTATATTGAATCAAATGTATATATGTTGAACCTACTACATCTCCAGGTCAATCTGTGTTCATTTTGACTACGAACCGTGCGCTATCACTTTATTTCTGCGTTTGAAGCACAGCAGAAATAGAGTCGGTACGGAAACGATCTCTGCACTGCTGTATACGCACCGCACCTGGAACGGATCGACGGACTGCATCCGCGTGCAGCGTGAAAGCTCTAATCTGTTAACATAAGAAAGAAAATACGCACCGCAAACAGAGTAAGTGTGAAACGGGCGTAATTAATGACAGAATTTTCATTTTTGGGTGAACTATCCCTTTAATCACTCAAAACCCTTTATCTAACCTCTCTACTGAACTGTTGGATTTGCACATCCGCCATGTTCACAATTTAACACTTTTTTTTTTTTATATTTGTACTGTAGTTGTCCAACACACAATGGGTTGTGAGCAATATTAGCCGTTACAGAGTGCATGGATCTGCACATCGGATTTTATCCGGAAAAAGCAGACAATCCAGGTATTTTTGGAATATTAATTTCTCCTTTTCTTTCATCCTCATTTCGTTCGAAGTCATAAGTTCTTAGAACGTTCTGGTCCGAACAAAATGTAAAAGTTCACAAAATTCCTTCAAAAAATTTAAAGTTATCCAGCGTAAAGTTGATTTCTAAAGAAAATTGATACACACTGATAGCTTTACTTACGTTGCTATGGTGATAAGCAGCATGTAGGTAGCTCTGAAGATAATATAGGCAGTGTAGCAAACCCAGATATTCCTGACGGTGTCCATGAGGAACACACACACTGCAATTACCAACGAAAAAATGCAGAGAGCAAGTTCTCCCCACACTGTCCAAGACACTTTCACAAAGCTTACAACAAATGCAGCAAAAGCACCTGATGGGGAAAAAACAACAGAAGTCATTAAAAGTGCCCATATTATGCTCATTTCCAAGTTTATAATTTTATTTTTGGGGTCTACTAGAACACATTTACATGATTAAAAGGTTGGGTAGGCAATTTCGGAGTGGCTAGCAATAGTGAGCTAGCTTTGAAAGCATAAGATCCCAAAGCCAAGCCACCTCCAAAACACTTGAACGTGCAGTTCGCGCACAGACACAAATTAGGCTGGCCTGATTGGTTTATTCAATGCATTTTCTGCTGCACATCCAAAGAAGTGAAGTCACCTCATCACTGGACGACAGAGTTGTCTCTATTATATTAAAATTTTCATCATGACCTGCACATTGACAACATTGGTACTTGGTGGTACTCTGTGTTTCGACCGCAGAAACCAGGGTCTAAATGAAGTTTCGGTTAAAAATGTCCCCCTCAGAAAGTCCCTGCTCACTAGGTACTTTTTCAAAGTTCAGGAAGTTTCGGGGGTGGGACTTGAGCACTGAACGTGCTGATTGGTTGAGTTTAGGACTGTCAACTTTAGTCGTTTAGTCGACTAATCGGTTGATGCCGTCTTGGTCGACTGACCTTCTTATTGTTCGACCAGTTGCATTTTTGTTTTTTTACCAATAGAAAGAATTTTTCAATTATTTACTCCTTGATATTTATTTCTTTATAAGCAGTTATTTATTACTGTATTCGAAACATAATTAGCCTATGTTTTGTCCCCAAGTTACAAAAATAGCCTAAATTAAAGCATTTTAAAGAAATGCTTTAATTTAGGCTATTTTTGTAACTGCGCCACAGTTTAGCGCACACACATAATACACTCGGGAACCGCACCTGTGGATGGCTGCGCTGCTGCTCGCGCTCGGTAAGGGATGCTGGAGTCATTCAGTTAGAACGCTGCTTGTTTTGGCTTTAGTCGACAAATGTCCAGGAAATCTAAATCTTTTGTCTGGCTGCATTTTAAAACAAAGACGACAAGACTGTGGAGGGAGGCGATCGCGTTGCTCCATTATGAGACATTTGAAATCGAACTTGAGCGCGCAAAAGACGTGAGCAGCCTTTTAACGGCTAAATCATGCTGACTCAATAGATTGTGTTTTCTTAATGCTTTCGTTTTTATTTGTACACGTGATGCATTTGAAAATAGCCTAAATAATGCAACAAACCAAAAATAAACCTATACGTGGTCCTACAGCCTATTATTAGGATTGTTTTTAGGCTATTTGGTTTTTTGTGTGTTGTTTTAAAACGCCTTGATCGTCAGGACGAAAGTTAACCCATAGCTTTGAAAGTAAAGAAGAATATAAAGCCTGTATAAACGAGAGCTTTTGTTGGGATTTTTCATTATGTGGCAGATAGCAGTTATATTTTTTGCAGCGTGTGGTGTGGTCAGGTGCGCGATTGTGACTGATACTAATAGACCTAGGACAGAGCTCCTCACTTTTTGCAGTTAAAAAATCACTTAATTTTCAAAGAACTGTATTATTATTATAGTTTTATTTATTTGTGATGTTTTTTCGTTGTTGTTTTATAAATGGTCAATGACAATTGTTTAAAAAATGTTTAATCAAAACATCACCTTTTTTTTTTTTTTAGTCGACTAATCGTTGCGCAGGACAAGACTTTGGTCGACTAAGGATTTCTTTGGTTGACTACAGCAGCCCTAGTTGAGTTCATGCCGCATTTTCATTTTAATTCCAAATTGTAGCTGTACATTAAGGTGCATGAGCAGTTTACCATGTTTCATAGCGCATTACGATAATGGCAATAATATTAAACAGGTTTGAAAATATCATAGTGCCTGTGACTACGAGAGACAGACTCAGGTCACATCACTGACAAACTCATATTTGCCGAGCATCAGAGACCGCAACGAGACCGCACCGATTTGGCCGTGATCAGGGGGTTGTGATCACAAACCTTCGAAAACAATCTGAAACAGCAAAATCCAGCCAAAAGTTTTCAGATTTCATGTAATTTTTTTCCGTTCACACTTGCTAAATATGATCGGATTCCAATTGGATATGCACAAAAATCGGATTTGGACTTATAGTCTAAACAAGGCTATAGTGAAATCACTTTCCCAACTGTTCTTTGAGGGCAGGTCAAATTAAACAGTAGACACATTTTGCAAAGTGTAACATGTTTATGTAGCTACTAATGGAAATAACGGCAGGACTACAAACAAGGTGTCTCAGAAAAGCTAAACTCTGCAGGGCTGTGGCCCTCCAGGAAGTTTGATACCCCTGCACTAAAAGAAAAGTAAAAATAAAAAGCATAATAGGTGCCCTATTATTGGGAATCAATTTATACAATTGTATCTATTGTTATTTGATTGTTGCCGGCCTTTTCATAATTAACAACACAAATTCAACAGAGAACGCATAACACAAAGTAGTTTGAGAATGAGCATATAATAAAATTGATTATAAACCAGTAATCATACCAAGCAAGGTAGAAATGGTCTCCACATATCCATTGTAGATCTCAAAATCATTGGAAGGCAAGATTTTCTCCCAAAGTGCTTGAGCGTAATTAACCACCTGGAAGTAACCACAAGTGGACAAAGCCCACCACACTGACCAGGCCAGTAGGGTAGAGGACGAGTAACACTGCAGAAAGTCTGCCCAGAGCATTTTTAACACTTCCAGTAATCTACTACTGCTAGTGTTGTCCCTGAGAGCCTGAAAAATCAAACAAATCAGGTCACAGACAGTTATCTCAACAAGCATATGACTGTGAACTTATCAGCATCAGCAAATATTAGCATTTTTTTTTTAATGTTTAAAAAAAAGAACATTCAGTCTTTTTAAATTTAAAGACTTTGGTTAAACTTTCAAACACAAATTAAGATTTTTTTTTAAATGGTTCAGTGCCTTCATTAAAAGTCTAGACAACCAAAAATCCAAAAAGGTCTTTAAGAAATAAAATAAATTCTTATGAATTGAGTGTCTTCAAAGTCTTGTAAAGATCACTTTATATGAAAAACAGATTTAATTTAGGCTTTTATTCACATATAAACACACATACATCATGTCACATGCTAAAACAAACCTCACTGCGTGGGCACTTTTGAGCTTCCATATATTTACCATATCTGACATGCTCCATGTATAATGTTTTTCGATCACTGCTTTGGTGTAAATTAAATGTTAATCATATAAAGTGATTATATATCTTTAAAGATTTGGATTAAACTGCTTGATTCATATAGATAGATCTATTTTACGATGACTTTATGACCTTTTTGGATCTAAGTTTGGGTTATCTGGACTACCAGTGGAATGGCAGAAACCTCCCAGGATTCAATAAAAAAAAAATCTTAATTTGTGTTTTTTAAAATTATTCAAAATCTTTTGGGTTTGGAACAATATCAGAGTGAGTAAATGACAGAATTTGCATTTTTGGGTGAACTATTCCTCTAATAATAGCAGGAATAGTTCACCCAAAAATGCAAATTCTATTGCTCATTTTGTTCAAAGATTGGATATATGGTGAATGCATAATAAATATAATATTATAACATATACAATAATTACATCATACTAGATATCAGTCATAGCATAAGAAAAATTATAGGAATTAAATTGAATTCACATTTATTTGTATAGTGATTTTCAAAGTACATGGTTTCATCTTTACAGAAAATGCATATTTGGACTGGAGTCAACGTTACAATTTAAAGTGACCTGTTATCAGAGGTAAATGTCCAAGTTCTGAATTTCAGAAAGTTACATATACAAAATCACAGTTAGCCAAAAGTGTATTATTTTTAAGCAATGTAATAATTTATTTAAATGATAAATTAAAAAGTGTTTTGATTAACATACTATAATCAAACATTTTGCAAGAGCGTACAAATAAACTAGACAATTTTTTTTTATAATTATATCATCATTACCTAAAAACTAGTCTACTTACCATTTTTTCATCTGTACTAAGCTGCATTTTGGACTCTGGATCGTCTGGCTTCTCGATCAGCTGACCACGGTTCATGGGTTCCAGAACTGCTTCATCCTGAGAGCTTTGCTCTCTCTCATGAAAGAACAGGCTCTTAACGGGCATGTGTAGGAACCAAGGGGCAACAAAAGCTATGCAGGAGGACACCAGTGTGATGACGCTCAAGTAAAAAAGAGGTACCTGGGCTACAGACACCAGAACCTGTCCCATGAGTGAGCCAATGGCCGAGCCCAACAGTGTGACGCTGCGACAAAAACCAGTCACCCTCTGATAATGAGACGGCTCCACAACACTGTAGATGTAGGAGTAGTATGCAACTTCAGTGGCAGTGGCCAAACCGAAAAAGAACTCCAATAACTGCATGGCCCGCACACCCTGGGCCTTCATGAGCATAGCATATGTCACTATAAAGCTGGTCGCCTGGAGAATAAGCACAGGCTTGTAGCGAAGGTAGTCCGTGGCCAGGAAAACAGGAAAAAGCAGGACAAGGTAGGAATAGGTCCATAATGGATAGATCTCGTTCACAACCTGTGATAAAAGTTAAAGTAGTTAGAAGAGTCGATAATGCAGTAGTCAACATTTGAAGTGTATCAAAAAAGTTCAAGGTTGTCCTAAGATAAGAACGGGTAACTAATTTTCTCAAATGGCCTTGATTTGGCAGGTTAAAATATATTAACTATAATTATTATATAATGAATATATATATATATATATATATATATATATATATACACATATATTGACATAAAACGAAAGAAACTGATAATAAAATGGATGGAAGCTCATAACCTACAATTAGCATTTATTCAAAAAACACAAACACTCTGAAGCCTAAAAATCTTGTGATTTTTTTTTAATGCAGGATTTTGCTTTTGAAAAGAGATTAAGCTTATAGGATTAGACAAATAGCTGGCAGATTTCCCATTTAGCTGGTGGGAAAGTTGACCATATTAAATTATTTTTTTCATTCTCCTTCAAATGTTCTTTCAAATCATGCTCAGAGAAGGAAAAAAGCAGAATAGGTAACTTAGCCGTGTCAAATTAACGCACGTGTTCACATTTATTAATATTTTACTAGTATGATTTATTGTAATCTATTACACTGCCTGCCTGCATGTGTGTGTTGAAATCTTACATCATTCACCGCATGCTTTCATCAACCTACAGCACATTCACTAACGTTACCTCTGTCTCCGTCAGGTTTTTGTCAGGTCCCATCAAAAACGGTGTTAGAAAAGGCTCCAGTGGTCTGTGGCTGGAGAAAAATCCATAAATGCACAGTAAAACAGTGGGGTAAAGCCATGGTTCAGACATAATCGCTTGCGCCTATTGACCTTAACGATGCAAAGCGACCGATTCAGGGGCATTTTGCAATAACCCTCGCGCACCGGTTTCTTCTTCTTCTTTGTGTTTAACGGCGTTTGCTTGGCATCCAACATTAATGGTGCATTACCGCCAACTACTGTACCGGAGTGTGGGCCAGCGATAAATAAATGAACCATCCAAAATATTGTGCAGCCTTCTACTCAATTTTATTCGTTACTAGGCCAAATACAGTTACCCAGATCTACTTATTTTTACTTACATTTACTCAGTTCATATGATGTATCATTTCATTGTGTTTAAATGTATTAAATATTTTTGAGTATAAAAATGTTTCACCCCAAAAATTGAGTAAATCATAAACAGAAATGTTAAAAAAAATCCTCAAAAAAGCATTAAAGAAAGCTCTTTCTCCCATCTGCAAAGTTTTAATCAATATCAACTTTTTATGGTTGGATACAATGACAGAGGCTGAACATTTAACAGGGCTTTGTGATTGTTGTGGGGTCAGTGAACATTCCACTATATAACTTTATTGCAGGAAGTTGCAAAAGACAAAAGTTTTTGAAGTGTCGAGCAATAGGGAGTAACACAATCCAACTGGTTACAGTTCCTGAAATGTACAGTATCATTGTTAGACACACATGAAAATCAAAAAGGCCATTTACATCATGAAGGTCGCCTCATTTCAGAAAAGTAGACCGGCTTTACGAAACGTCAGACGTCATATTAGTTATATTAGTTATACTAGACTTGTTCTGGATCTTATTGATTATAAAGAAGAAATTGAGTCTGGTGCAATTATCTTATTTTATCAAGGAAGGCCTTCAACAGAGCACCATCTCCTTATAAAGCTTTTGGATTCCCATTCAATTGCATTAATGTTGTCCAAATGTTGTACAAAGATATTAACAGCTGTAATTTTAAATCCACGAACATCACCAAGGTTATATTCTTTGCGGTATAAGACAGGGTTGCCATTTAAGCCCATTTTCATTTTTATTGTAGAAACATTATCCATTTATATTTTGTGCAATAATAACTTTGGTCTTAATGACTTTAACAGAGAGATTCAAATCTCACAATTAGCACATGGTAGCACTTTATTTTAAAAGATAAAGAGCAAGTTTCTCCAGCCTTAACTACAATTAATGCTTTCTCTAATGCTTCAGGACTCAAACTTAATTTATCCAAGTATGAAATTATTTGCTTATTTAACAATGTAGAAATTGAAAATATCAACTAAAAATTAAGTGAAATATTTGAGGTTGTTGGTAATAATAGATTACTATCGTAACCCCAGTTCTCTGAAACATCGAGTGGAGAGATCCACCTACAGGAAGGGCATCCGTAACTGCGGGAAGGGCATCCGTGACCTCTGGAGAAGCATCCAAGTCTGGCTAGACAGCCAATGCCAATGCCCACGCAGCCAATGCCCGGTAAAGCCCCACCCCCTTACCTAGTGGCATATAATGCCTGCAAACGCTGCTATTCTCCAGTAAGTATATTCAATTCTCATGCGACAAGCAGGGCAAAGTTGGTGGATCTCGATGTTTCGGAGAACCGGGGTTACGATAGTGATATTGTTCTCTTTCATCATCTCGCGTTCGAGATCCACCTATGGGAGAGACATGGACAGCTCCCCAATTTCCCAATACACAGTGAGGTTCTGAAAGCCAGAAAAAGGACGGTCACCCCAGGGAGGTGCATAATCATGAACCTGCAATCCAGACACGCATACATGCAGGACATGAAACATGCAAGTGGCACACACATGATAATAATCCCAGCAACACAAATGTGGATATATACACTCAGAAGTGCATGGTGACAGGAATGTGCATGGCCAGCCGGCCCATTCACTCCTTAACTATGAGATTGCAGGGAAGGGCTAAGAAGACCCCACCACTAAAACCGAATGTGCTACCGAGGTACTGGTGACATTCAGCTGGTAGTGACGCACAAACGTACAATATGAGGAGAAGCCCAACTGGCAGCGGAGCAGATGTCCTGCAGTGACACTCCCCTAAACAAAGCCCAAGAAGTGGCTAAGCCCCTCGTGGAATGAGCTCTGATTTCCCCTGGGGGCTGCACTCCCTTTGATTCATATGCCAAAGCTATAGCATTCACAAGCCAATGTGAGAGGCATTGCTTAGATATGGGATTCCCTCTATAAGGGGGCGCCCATGAAATAAAGAGCTGGTCACTCCTCCTGAAAGCACTGATCCTGGTCATATATGTCTGTAAAGCACAGATGGGGCACAGAGCATTCATAAATCTGCGAATTAGAGGATGGTGCCCGACTGTTGAGCCCTCAAAACCCATATGACAGGCTAAAATCGGAGCCAGGTAGACCTTTACTGCGGAAAAAGACCTCCCTTTTTCCATGAGGTCTTGAAGGAAACACAAAGTATCAGGAACCTAATACTGATAAGATGTGAGACCATGCCCATCGCACCACCCTTCGAATACTTGCCACTTACAGCCATATAAGAAACGGGCCTGGTATTCTGTATAGTAGCAATCACACACGGCAAAAGCCCCAGTGTGCTTAGGTTTATCCTCTCACAGGCCAGGCCCAGAGAGCCACCTTGTCTGGGTGTGGGTGATAAATCTCCCTGTTCACTTGGGACACTAGGTCCCTGCGAGGCGCCACGGCTCGGCATGTAATAGAGGGATTATCTCCACCAGCCATGGTGCTTTGGGCCAAGAGACAGGCCCTGCTCTCTTACCCTGGACAGTGTGGGAATTATCAGGCACAGAGGAAAAGCATACAGCAGCACTCTGGGCCATGGGTGGGCCAGTGCATCCACCCACGTCCATTAACGAGAAGAACATAGGACAATGGTAATTTCTGTGCGACGCGAATAGATCTATGGTTGCCTATCCGAATCTCATCCATAACATATCTACTATCTGCGGGTGAAGACACCAATCCCCGTAGATTAGATATCCCCGCGATAGAAGATCCGCTCCTGTGTTCAGAATGCCCGGAACATGAGTCATGTTTAACGAAAGAAAGCCGCCCTGACAGTTGATATAAGCCACTTCTGTGGTATTGTCGCAGCGTATGACTACGTGATGTGAGGCAGAAAATGATTCAGAGCTTTCCAAATGGTCATTAGCTCTAAATAATTTATGTGCGCTGAACGTAGTCTGCTTGGCCACAGACCGATCACCGTTGTGCCCTCCTGGGTGGCACCCCAGCCTGTTAAGGACGCATCTGTAGTCACAACTGTCTGCATCATAACCGTCCCCAGAGGGGTTCCCTGTGCGTAAAAGTCTCTGCTCTTCCAGTGGCGCAAGGCTGCTGAGCAGGCGCGCGTCACTATAACAGAGCGGCAAAGATCGCGAATCGGGCTGAAATGTAGTGACAAAACCCATTTCATGAACGCTCTCATTCTCAGGAGTCCCAGCAGCACAACCTGGATGGATGAAGCCATCAGACCCTGCAGCCTGAGGCATATGTGATGTTGTACTGTCGCCCCCTCTCTGAACAGCGACAGGCAGTTCATTAGAGATGCGAGCTCTTGCGAGAGACACGGTCGCATGGCGACAGAGTTCAACTCCAAGCCCAGGAAAATTACATTCTGAATGGGTATAAAATTGTTCTTGCTCACATTGACCCTGAAATCCGAAAGATGTGATGTGCGCGAGCACACAGGTAACCCTGCAACACTTTCTCCTTCAAATCGGCTATAATGAACCAATCGTCTATGTATGTCAGAATCCTCAGGCCTGACATTCTCATCGGTGTTAAGCCCGCCTCTGCACACAGACAAAACCTCGGGGACTTACGGCGACTGTGAATTTGTAACATGTGCCCTGGTGGGCGAAACAAAGAAACTTCCTGTGTGGCGGATAAATGCTTATGGAAGAAAGCATCTTTCAGATCGACCACGCTCTTCTGCATGGGACCAGTTGTTCTGTTTTATGGGGAGTGGGGAACACCTGAAGCTCTCCCTTGTTTAGGAGAGAGGAATGTGTGCGGTGCTCTGTTCCGTGTGTGAAGAGAGAACGCTGTTGAAATGCTGAGGTTTCATTGCAAACTCCAGTAGCCCTGTATAATTGTACGCAACACCGACTTTAGGGAGCCGAAACAATTTGCCAAGCCCATTCATGACTCGAGAGTGTTGTGGACAAACTAGGGGCGACATGTAGGGGTTCAGAGAGATTTTCTCTCTCTGCAGGGAGATTAATTCTCACTGCGGAGAGAGATCAGACCCTGTACAATATCATTATATTTTTCTCACAGTAGCCTCAACGTGGGGGGGACAACACAACGTCCTCCAAGTGGGGCTGGGCAGCCTCGAGAGGGGGGGAACCGACCCATCCTTGGGAAACCCTGACCATCCTCGTCCCCGGAACAGGCCGGTTCTTCGACGAGCGTGAGGTTGCCCGCAAAGATGTCCTCTTCAGGGAATGCAGGATTGGGCTGGTCAACACAAATAAGTGAGTTAGCACCCCGGGAGACCCCCGGTAGCACGTCGTCATCACCGTGTCCCCCATCCGAGTCAGAAAGGCTGAGCTTCGCACAGTGGGTAGCGGAAACTTTAAGACAGTGTGATAAAAGCTTCTTGGGCAGCATAAGGCAATGACTGCAATTCTCAGGGTTCTCCGAGGCCTCTTGAGCATGTTTGAGACCCAAGCAGACGCAGAATGAGTGTAGGTCCTTAGCGGCGATGAGAGCGCCACATGGGGCCAGGCAGGCCCGTGATAGGCTGTTCCCCTGACAAGGGGCGGGTTTAGACAGCGACATAGTGGCGAAGAACTCAGAAAAATCTGTGGTGAGCAGCCACGGAAGGAGGAGTTGCTGAGAACAGCGAGAGTGCGGGCGGCTCAAGATGCAAAACAGCGCTTGAGTAGAGTAGAGAAGAGTAGCGCTTGCAGCCATTATATGCCCCTATAAGGGCCTTACTGGGCAGCGTCTGTCTGTCTAGCAAGACTTGGAGCAATAGCATGCTTGTGCAGAGGTCAGGTACAGATGCCCTTCCCATAGGTGGATCGCGAACACGAGATGATGAAAGAGAACTCAGAGGCGAAGACCATCAAGTCTAACTAAAGTAGTATACA